TGTTGTGCACTTTTTGACCGCAGCACTGCCTTAACTTCTGACCATGAGGGACCTGGTACTGAACGTAGCGCACCAAGGATTTGATCGCGACCGTTGCCTTTATCACACGATTAAAAGCGGATTATACCATGAAAAGGTAGCCCATCGAAAACCAGTTAACGATGGTCAGTGTTGCTAACCAATTTTGGTACCTAATCACCTGGTCGGTATGAGGTCCAACTCAAAGCACACAGGTGTGTGCAAACGGAAGAGCTGTGCACACATCTATAATGGCGGGTCAAGAGGTGACAAAGTGCTCTGGCAAGCAGCAACAGTTTAAGCTCAATTGAAAACATTTGCTAGGGCAAAGGCTAACGTAGCGGATTTTCTACTGAAGAATTGAAAATATTTTTCATGTTCGACAGTAGCTGACCGGTGACGGTGATGTCATTTTTCCTTTGGAAGGTTGATATTAAACTTGTTCTGATTTCATTTAATTTAATTGGCTTATTGTTTGCATAACAACGCACTCAAGAACACAAAACAGTACTAGTTATATGAAACAAATAAAAAGGAGCTATCGCAAGATACAGGGGCATTATCTAGGACTTGGCCTAGGAGACGGGAAGAACGACCAGGAAAATGAGAATGGCTCACGCACCCTGGTCTCTCCTCCTCCACCTAAGGCGTCCTGTTTTCGAGAAGAAGGAGATATTTCACGCGGTTTTGAATGCATTGCCTGTCCCCGTATTTGGTGATAGCGCCTTTAAAACTACTCATGTGCCTCGTAAAAAAAACAGAGAAACAGAAGAACGATAAATATGGAGAAAAAGTAATTTCAGTAAAGGGACAGATAGTTTTCCTGAATTATCATACCATGACCGATTTATGGCAAAGAATGCCCACAAGCGCACGCTACTATTATGCTTGCAAAGATTCTCTAGAATGGAGCTTTTGATGGAGGTAAAACATCATACGTGCTGTCTTTGCGGCTCAGTTATCAATTGACGCTCATTTCTTGCACTACTCCAACTTCTCGAAGCCATGCCTCAGCCGAAGGAGAGCTGCATCATCTGAAAAAGTTAAATCGAGAAGGTCGTGTTCTGGGATTGCGCGGGATAGATGTGAATTGCGCCATAGAAGTGGATAAATATGTTTCTCCGGTTTCAAGACTTATTGCTTCGCGACGACCCGGCTTCGGAAGGGCGCAGGCAGTTGTGTGGCAGTCAGGCTCTCTTTTGGGTCTTCCCCCTTCTCTGTAAACGTTTCGGAACAAACATTTCAGTAACTTATACCCCATGTTCAAAAACCTTTAGCGCTAGAGCATTTTTAATATATTGTTTAGACAATATCGGACTAGTAGGCACTTCTGTCATTAAAACATTGACGCTGATTTCCTAGATCACCACCTCCACATTAGTGAACGCCTATCTACAGAGAGAAAAAGCGATAAAACCTGGACAAAATAAGACTCCAAAAAATATCTGAAACCATCATTGAACGTAAGTGATAGATTTAAGTCAATAACTCCAGGTCAAATTGGTGGGCTAAAGTGGCATAGTGGATGTGGAGTTGACTGAAAATTAATAAGCAATGAAAAATGTCGCTGAAGACCCTGGTATCCCTCTCTCATCTTAAAATGATTGGGGGGAGGGGGCGTGCCGGACGAGTTGTTCGTGCATGCTTTCTCAAGGGCTCAACCCGCGCAAATTGGAATTAGCTGCCATGTCGTAGTCCACGGGTTACAAGGCTTCTGTCAACCAAGTTATGGGAAAGCACACACTTTGTGTCTTATTGGGACTAAGCTTTTTGAAGGAGATAAAGAAAGCAGAGATGCTGTGATAGTGTGCACGTGTGAGCGCTTCCAGACGCCACTACAAAACGCTGAACAGCCAAGCCTCGCGGTTGACGATGATGACCTACTCGTAATAACTTCG